GTTTATTTTTTGTGAATTAGTGAGATTCCTCGTCTTTTCACACTTACCATTTTACATTTTTGTTTTTTTTTTTTCTTTTTTGGAAATTTGACATCTTTGTGTTTTCATAAAAGTTTCGAAGGTACAAAAATTATTGGTTGATTGTGTTGCAAATTTTTAAATGTTACTTTATGAGTAAAATTTAGAAGAATTTTCTTCTGACAAGTTGGTGCGAAGGTACCGTTCTTTTTCCAGCAATTTGACAACAATGGTGTGGTTATTTGGTGGTGGTTATTATTCGGGCAGTCCGTCCCTAATTTTGTATGATGGGAAAGCTATGGCAGTTACCAGTAATGTTGTTGTTGTTAATATTAATTATCGTCTTGGGCCATTTGGATACCTGTATCTTGATCATGATGATGCTCCGGGTAACATGGGAATGTTAGATCAGGTTCATTCATGTTTTCAACATTCCAAATTCTCTCATTTGAATTTATCACTTTTTTATCTCTGATAATTTATTTAATGCATTTCAAATGAATTTATAAAATGTAATTTTTAATCGGAAATACAAATCATTCTGAGAATTTTTTTTTTCTCTAGAAATAAGAAGTTGAGAGCTTTGATAAGTGTTTTCTTATGAAAAATATGCCAAATTTTTAGATCCATCAATGCAACATTTTCAGCAATTGGCATTTCGTTGGATTCATGATAATATCATTTCTTTTGGTGGAAATCCTTCTCGAGTGACTCTGTTTGGTGAGTCAGCTGGTGCAGCATCCATTGTTGCACATCTGATTGCTCCGGGAAGTCGCGGTCTCTTCAAACGAGGTATTCTACAATCTGGTAGTCTGGACAATAAATGGTCATTAGATTCACCTCAACGTGCTATGCAGAAAAGTCTTGCATTAGCTAGGCATCATGGCTGCCAAATGAAAAAGGTAAAATATTTGATGTAAGCTGTGGTTGTCAAATTTCAAAATCTTATATAATTCATACTTCATAAAAAAATGATTCCACATCATATTCTGTTAATTGGTTAAGCAATTTATTAATTAATGAGTAATTGATGAAATCCTCAACTTTGAAGAGTTTATAAGTTTTATTTTCACTTCCAAAGTATGCTTAAAATGCAAAATATTTTTTTTTTTTTTTAAGTTATGGGATGTAAAAGCATAATAGTGCAACCGTTATTCACTTTTTTCTTTTTTACAATTTGACTGAATAGATTTAGTAAACATAAGCATAGAGGAGCAAATGTTACATTTTGATGAACAACGATATTATTCGAGATATGTACTTATGTTATAGCATATGTTTTCAAATGTTTTGAAATAAAATGTTTGCAAAAAAGAAAAAGTACGATAAAAACTTTTACAGCTTACAACTAAATCAGAAATTTGAATTTGTTGTTTATAGCTAATGATAAAATTAAAGTTAAAATAGTTTTTGAAAAAAATTTGGATGCATAAATTTTTAAATTTAGCAGAATTAAATATATTTTTGAAATTGTATTTTGTTCATTTAGATAGCGGATACCATTGAATGCCTGAAGTCAATACCAGCTGCAAAATTAATTGATGGTATGTGGAATGATTTGGAATTTCTAGAATTTCCATTCGCGATTGTTTCGAAAGATCGTAATTTCTTTAAAGAATATGATGCATACAAAGCACTACGAAATGGTAATCATAGCATGGATGTTGATTTAATGATTGGTATTAATCATGATGAAGGTATGGTTGCTTTATTGATTTAATGTGAAATTTGATCATTTTGTTTGTTTAGAAATTTTGGTCAATTTTCGATAGGATTAAATTTCTTATGCTGAGAATCGCAGTTAAGTATAAATATTTATGGAAGGATTTAAAAGAGACAATAAATATGAAATTTATCTAATGAGAAAAAATAACTGAATACAATGAAAAATCAATTTTCTAAGGTAATTATTGGAATATTTACTTTCTTCCGCAATATTTTGACAAGCCAGAGCAGCCGCTATTAAATCAAGATGATTTTCTGGATTGTATTAATACTGCATTCAAAGTACAACCAAAGTTGGTTCGTCAAGCAGCTGCTTTCACTTACAGGGATCGACATTGCGAGAATACCGCCCAGAAAAATGAATTTTATGCTGAACAGGTTAAAGTTCAAGTGGATTTTATTTGATGCTTGAAAAGTATATTTTCGATGTTATGTTAATGATGTTATGTAATGCAAAGGAATGATAATTATTTTGTGGACATAGATATGTCGCATAGTTTTGTTACAAAATGAACCTTTCTTTATCTTTCTTGTCAAATCATTTCTTATAGCTCTTCTTTAAAAGCTGATTGATTGATTAGATTATTTATAAACTCAAATTACAATGCTTAATACTAAACACTAAAGTTAAAAAAATCAATGCTATTTCCAAACATTTATGATTTTTGTAAATCTTTCATTTTCAGATCAATCAAATGGTTGGTGATTACTTTTTTACATGTGACAGCATTTGGTTTGCCGAACATATGAAAAAAGGAGATGGCAAAATCTACGTCTATTACTTTGATCAGCGTTCCACGTAAGTATCAATCATTAAATTCCTACTATTCTATTCAACCATTTGCACTACAAAATATTCATTAAATTGTCTCTTTGATATATGAGAAATGATTGCTTAGAATAATATTTTTATTGTTGATAAACAATGCTAGTACTTAGCTAACTTAGCTTGCAGTGATTACTGAAATGATTTTCATTGGAGAAAATCACAAGGATGAATAAATATTAGGGAAGAAATTCTCATCCGTAAATGATAGTTGAAATTACAGCGCTAATCCATGGCCTGAATGGGCAGGTGTTATGCATGGCTATGAAATTGAATTTGTATTTGGTGTACCACTTTACAATGGAACTGCTCCTTATACCGATCAGGAACGTATTTTCAGTAAAAAAATATTGAAATACTGGACCAATTTTGCCAATTATGGGTTTGAATTTACATATTTGATATATTTTACAAAAAAAAAAAAAAAAAAAGTTCCAGGTGATGCATTACACTTAAGGAAAAGTAACTTGAGACTAATTGTGTTTCAAGAGCAACATATATATGATTGGCTAATATAATAATTACTCACAGCCTGTATTCTAGACGACCGGATTTGGAGGGTCAAAATCACATTCGTTGGCCGGAATATCGTGAAACCGAAAAGTGGATGTACTTAAGATATGATACCCAAAATGGTTCCATTGAAAGGCGAAAACAAGAAGAGTGTGAATTATGGAGAAATGTAAAGGATTTAGAATTCGCTGACTATTGTAAGTGAATTATGTTACGAAGATTTTAAAGATTTTTTGTTTTATTTGAACAAATTTATTTAATTATCATTATTTTTTAGGATAAAAATTAGGATAAAATTATATAAATTTCATTCAGAAAAAAAAAAAAAACGAGTAATTACTTATTTGATGGAAGGAGAAGTTACTGGTTCACATAAATTTCTTATTTCTAGATTTTAAATGTTTAGAATTAAAAAATATTTGCAGTGAAAGAAAATAATAGTCCCAAACGATGGATATTTTCATATGGATTTACATTAATTGTACTCTGCTTATTGCTCACAGTCCATTCTATCAGGTGGTAATTTCTAATTTGTAGTATTATACCATGATCTACCCCATTTATTAAATTCTTTTGTACATTCCATTATATTTCTTCAATTACAGTAGTGTCCTTTTTTTTTCTTTATTTGTCACATTTTGCACTGCCCTAAAATACAAACTGACTTAACTTTGATTTAAAAATTAAAATAAATTTATTGAGTTCACCAAGTCGGTTTTGCTTAGTTTCATCTTAGAAACTCTTTCATGAACGTAAGTGAAATTGATTTATGATAGTAATGAAGAACGTAGGGCAGGAATGTGTGATAGTATCATATTAGTTATAGTATCATAGATTTCAAAGATCACAAAAGTTCAATTAGATGCAATTCATTAAATCCTTATATGAAATCAGTCCGAAAATTCTCGTCCTTTGTTCCGAAATAATTAGACCTCATCATCACATATTGAAAGTTTCTTAGTTTTAAATTCGATTGCTAAAAGCTATCACTGAATATTATCCTTTTATTATCTCTTCAGAATCAATAAGAAATAAATTTGAATTTTAAAATACTTTAAAAATTGTTCCCTTTAGAAATTTTCAATTAATTCTTTAGTATTCAAGATTTACACCGAATTCAAAATTTTCTTCCCAAAATCTTTTACCCTTTTTTTTTTTTTCAAATCTTTATGCAAAATAGCATTTCATTTTTGATTTCCACAAGTTTTTCTATTGTTTACACATTTCTTCACTTATTCCCAGTCGAATGAGAGTGAGGTTGAATAGGTGAGGAAATCTCGGATAAGTAAGAAAGCCTATGAGACTTTTTCATACAATTATTTTCTTCCATCGCTATTGTTTTTCTTTCTCTGTGATATGAAAAACTTGAAAGAACTTGTATTTTTTTTTTTTTTTTGGAACTTGTATTTATTTTGCTTTCTAGGCATTAAAATTAACTATTTCTCAATTTTTCATCTTTTTTAAAATGACATCATTTCCTCATGTAAATGTATTTGTGACCACATATTGCCAAAATTTAATTTAATCATATCATTCTCATTTCTTCTAGTATTTATAATTTAGTGTATGAATGAGTATTTTGTATATGCCATTTTTATTAACTGCAAAAGATAAAATTTGCGTCTTTTTGAATGAAAAAAAAGTGCCGTAAACTGATATATGAAATTTGTACGAATTCAAAGTATTTGTAAAGTAAACGTAAGAAAATTATTGGTGTTCAAGTAAAACTTTTCATTTATGAAGCAAGAAAAATGATAGAATATGAGATGAACAAATGTCAAAAGAAGGAAAAATTACCAGTATATCGAAATTGCTGCTTCAAATTAATGGTAAGTGCTTCAGAGTTCAAAATTCAAAGGCCACAATAATTTTCTTTAGAGTAGTAAAAGATAGATTGATCGATGGAGGAGGAAAGATTTTATATACTAATTGCATCATTAACTGTGGCAGAAAATATTTCACATTCACCATCAATTTCCAAAGTTCTAATATCATCTGGTGAGCCACGATGCGCAAATGTCGTGAAGCGAATACCGTTGAAGAAAATCTGGAAACTGTATTTTTCATTGACAATCGTTATATCGGCACTGAAATGATGGAAAACATTTATTTATTTGTTGATTAAGTTTTTAAATTCCTCTTAAATCACTTATAGAATTATCTGATAAAGTAAAAATGTACAGCATCTGATAGGAAGTTAAATTAATGATATAAAAGGTAAATTTTTTACTACTTCATGAATTCATAGTTTCTCTGTTTTGGACGATTAATTTCAACAATCTGAGATGTGCTACATCAAATGACTAAGAAGTCGTTCGTGGCAGGTAAATTTCGAAATGATGATGATGATAAATGAAAAAGTTTAAGCATTTAAGAAGAAATAAAGTGCGACATTTCATCTTTGACAATCGGTATCACTCCCTCTCGCTCTTCTCGTCCCCAATCATTATTCTGCATCGCATTCCGTACCACGGTACCCTCGTTAAATCGTACAGATATTTGTAGTGCATGTTGTCGATTACTGTTGTATAAATTGATATTAAATCGTTTACCTAAATTCGGAATTTATTCTTTGTTCATTCTATTAACTTATGATATGTTAATTAGCATAGATGCTTATCAGTACTATCATTATATCGATTCATCCAAATAATTTTGATAAGTAAAATGTTTGGTCCTGCTAGTTTACACTTTATTATCAAATAGACATTGTTTTAGAACTAAAATTTGGATTTTTCATTCTGTCATATTAAAGGTTATCTTCTGTTCATCTACATGAGACGCAACTTTTTAATACTTCCATTGTATAATTTAATTTAATTTGGTAAGTAATTGAAAAGACCAATTAATAAAAGATTAAAAAATCCATTATGAAATGAATTACTGTTGTACTTACCAGTTGGTAGTAACGAAATATCCAGTCGTTTTCCTGGGACAACTTCGGCGATCGCCATGTACGGTATCGGAAATACTCGTCCACCGTAGTGAAATAATGAAAGATTGATCAAATCACCACTAATCGATACATGATCTACCTGAATAATATCTATTTTGCAAATATATTGAACAAAGAAGGAAACTGATTTTTCAATTTCTTTGCTTTAAACTTTAAAATAGTCTATAAATTCATGCTCTGATTGTATTTATAGTTCTACTTGACATAAGCGCCAACTAGACAGAAGAATTCCTTTATATATTTACATGATTTTTGTGTGAATCGGTGAAAGATAAATTTTTCAGAAATTAAGTTGATATTTAATTACTTGGAAGAAAATATCGAGAGAGAAAAAATTTAATTACTTACCCCATCTAGTGGTGCCCGCTGTTCGAAAGTACCCGCGTCCATGCGATTCGCAAATATCTATATAACAATTGATAAAATAAATTACCACTTCTATATGCTTTTAATAAACTTATTAGCTTCAGATAAAAAAACCTTACCATATACACTGGAATGATATTATTTCATTGGATTATGCAATAATAATGACAAAGGTTTACCGCGGTACCGAAAAATTCTTGGCCTTTCGTTCAGAGCTATGTTTGGTTCCAAAGCAAAACAGTCGCAAAGTTTTAACTTATTTTTTCGTAAAATGAGGGGAAAAAAAAACTGATATAATAAGAGAGTAGCAGTTATCTGTTGAGAATGGTACCATATTGGTACACACACAATTTATGAGTTGTAGAAAAATTCATTTAAATTTCTTGAAATGAATGTGAGTTAGGTACCATACTTGATATTTATTATTGATAATGCGAATTCGAATATCCATTTCCGTATTTGGCTTAAAAAGATTTTTTAATCGTTGCTCTTTACTGCCCCAAACATTGTTCATGTATGAATTGTAGACCATTTTTCCTGAAATCAAATTGTTAGGAAATAAAACTGCACAGTATGAAATGATGCAAAACAACTAAAATGTTATAATAAGAAAGTATAAAGTTACCTTCATCAAATCGGATACTGAGGTGCAACGGTAGATCAACATTTGCACCTGCACCTTTATGGAAATTGATATCAATTCTGAAATGTATTTGTAAACTAATTTGTTTCACTTTATAAATTCATATTTGTTTTTTTCGGTTAAGAAGAACACCTGAAGAATATTTGCAGCGAATGGGTCATTTCTCAAAGATTGCTAAATTTATGGAACAATGAAAGACAACTTGCAAAGACATATTTTAATTTTCTAATTCTCTTTTCAGATAAACGAAAAGATTCGTAATTTTTAAGAAGTAATCAGAACTATAGTTTAAAATACGTTTGATAAACTATCTTTAACTGAAATTTACTTTCTTCTGTCCTACTCATATACAAAATTTATTACTTTTGAAAATAAATGCAAAAATTTTTGGGAACTTTTTAGAAGATAAGCTAAAATTTGAATAATTATTCCATACCTTTTGGCATCGGGTTTTATCATACCAACTCCATGAATGGTCTGTCCTTCTTGGAATGGTTGACTAATTCGAGTTTTAAATGGTATCATCTACAGTTGGTAATTATTTTATTAAAGGTAATATAACATTGTAAAATCTATCGATAACAAATCCAATCACAGCTTTACTTCATCACTTATTAATTACCTATGATTAAAGGTAAACATTTATGCAAAGAAATTGCCTCCTATAAATAAACATGAGAGAAGCATTTTCTTCACTTTCCCCAAGCTTAATTTTCGCTAAATTTGAGCTTCATAGTTTAGAATGTATTAGTTTAGAATTTTTAATTCACTAGGAAAATAATATTGAATCTACTGATGGCATTATTTTCTCAAACACTACATTTTACTTTATTTAATTTTAGAATTAGAAATGGAATTATTGGTTCAGCTAGATTCGAGCACAAATATATGCAACGATGAGTATGTTCAGGCTGAATTCATACAATTCAAAATATCAAACTCACATAGTGTCTTTCACCAACGAATTTCTTATAGTTTGCTTCCTTCGGTTGCCTTCCATCATCTTCACTTAAGCTTATCTCAAGCAACGTCAATCCAACAAATACTAACACTAAATACATACTTATATTTGCTGTCACAACAAAATTTAATATTCTGTGTTCATTGATGACAATAAAATATAAACTAAAAATATCAAAGGATACCCACTTGTCACCTAAACACTTTGATTCAAAACATTAGATGGAACATCTTGCGAATAACACTTCTGTGATGATAACAGTAAGATTTCAATTAGAGGTGGTTGACAACTTTGTCATTCCATTATCACTATTATTATTATTATTATTATTATTATTATTATTACATTTAAGTATAAATTAGTTCCGTTTACTCTTCATAGAGATATTTCAGTTAATAGATGTAATTCCAAAATTGTTTCATTTACTGGAGAATGCGAGAAAAGAGGGATGAACGGGAAGACAAAGTAAGCCTTAGTTATTTCATTCAAAACTTTTCATATTTGTTGTGAAATTCAACGCATTGATCTTTTCCTCATATTTTAGTTATTAAAATTCTTAAGTTTGAAAAATGTGGAAATGGTAAAAAGAAAGCATAACTGAGTGATATAATCACTTCTCTTTTTTCTGATATCAAATATAAAAGTATTAAACAAGAAGAATTTAACTCGTATCAATTAGGCATTGTTGATCCAATTTCTGCGAATTAAAAAAAAAAATAAAAGAACAACTAACCTTGAAATAAATTCTTCATTGTTAGTCTGAAAAAAAATTTTTTTAAATTTGCAGAAGAAACACAATTCAGTTTAAAAAATTAACAACTTTAATATCATTTAAATGATGTATGGAAAGTGGAAGACATATTATGATTATAATTATAATTATGATCATTATGATTCTAATATTTTCTATTTGTAAAATATAATCTAAATTTAAAGAAATAAAAAATTCTCAAAAAACTCAATCTTATATTTATTTTATGATAAACTAGAACAATTGATCCATCCATGTGGTTTGCTATTCGTTGAAACTAAATATATAACACTTTGTATGATTAATTAAATGCAAAATATATTTCTCAAAGTAATATATAAATAAATGTATTAGCAAGAAAAGCAAAAGAAAATAATTAGATCAAAGGAGAATGACTTGCTAAGTTGCAAAGGCATATTTTGTGAGTTTGTTACTTTGGTAAGCTTTAAAGCGTATCGAATTTGAAGCAATTAATTAAGCATAAAAGCCATATGTTGTGTGTGTGGTTGCTGTGTACCAATTCTCATCTTTAAAACTGAAAAGATTAACCGATTTCCTTTCCGCAAACTTTGTTACTTGTTGTTGTTTGCTCAAACTTTTCGAATTTTTCAAACTCAAGGGCAAGTATCAGCTTAACTTCAAACTACTAAAATTATAACCTACTAATTAAGCAAGTGACAATGACCAGTTACAATAACATCTTTTTATAATTCAATTATCCAAATAGCTTATTCATTTAAACGTTACAAAAGTAAGATAAAGATTTTCGGACTTTTATAAATGAATTATGTATAAAATAATTGATCACAAACATTTGAGAAAGTGCTATGTTTTTCTAATAAATATCAAATTTTATATTGGAGCTTTTTTTATATTTTTTGAATATATTGAAACTTTTCGAATTTTTCAAACTCAAGAGCTTTTTATATTTCTTAAATATTTTGCAGTGTTTTTTGAAATTATTTTTTCACATTCAGTGGCGTTTCTTTGCAAAAGAAATTTCAACCATTCGAAGGCAAACTGACTCTTTCATTTTTTGTTGCAAAACAGTAACAATCCAAAATTCTCAACAAAGTTTGCCTGCTGAGATCGATTTACCACCCAGAAGTTTTCCCTTTGGCCATCAATCACCATACTTCCATATTTTTGCACATACAAAAATTGAAGTAATAATGATATAAATAATAAATAAGAACAAATGTAGTCATAAAATTTGGGTTGCTTTTATCTACTGGTTGTTGCTATCGTGCGGGCAGGTAATGAGAGTTTGCCCGGAAGGAGAAGACGAGTTCATGAAGATAACGATGCTAACAATGAAAGCGATTCAAGTGATAGGAATGATAAGGTAATGGACATTACTTTCAATAATGTTTCTTTGATCAGTGAAGTAATCAATTATTGCGAATCATTCTTTCCACCAATTTTTGTTCCTTGCAATCAGCTAGCAAAAATCTTATCAAACATTGCAACAGTGTTACATGTAATTCCCAAAGATCTGGGTATAAAAGTAACCTATTTTTGTGAATTTCGAGTTGTTCAGCAAAATCAACAAAATGATGACCTTGAAAAGTTCACTGAACTATTTTATTCAGTTTCTGCAAAAATCATCTAAGCAAAGTGATTATTCTATTCTTCATAACAAAATGAGCGGACTAACTTCATTACATTTTACCTGTCCATATAGGCAAACATCTACCTGTACAAACAAGATTCATACCATACCTATCTATCTATGTCACAATAAAATACAATATGGCAAAAGAAAATTTCCCAGGGTTAAACGAAATATGAAATTGAAGACAAAGTTAAATGGTCTGATGATGAACGAATCAAACAGTCATACTGGAATACGCGGCGCAACTGTCGCACTGTTATTCTACACATAAGCACTTCCTCAGAAATGTTTCAATTTCCGCCCTCCACAAGCTACACAATATGTGCTTATTATTCATAAGAATATTTATACGTCTAACTTTACGTTTTACTGGTATTTTTCTTGCTTTTCAGTATTTTCATCTGTTCGGCAAGATTCCTGATTTTACTGTATGTGAGTTAATATAAAATGAGTTAGCACATAAACTTTAATCTACGTCATCTTAAATAAGTAAGTTATGAACGGACGTCTGTCACTCCTTCGAAATACCGCGCAAGATGTCTGCCATAAGGTATTTGCATTTTTCCTCAATGAAAAATGATTTGTTCATCTTACATGATGATAATACGATTCTTGTCTACATAGCACGTGGCAAGTGACGAAAGCACGTGCGTGACTTGCCACCCGCGTACGCATACGCCTGTGTGGATCTCTCTATTGTATGTGTGTGGATAAAGAGATAAAAAGAGAGTGTGCTGGTCAATGAGGACGAGAGCGCCCGTTGGTCATAACTACTCTGCCGGATGCCTCAAGACACATGTCTGCCCCTCCTCATCTCAGCATTCTCTCTGTCAGCACTCTCGCACACTGCCCCCTCCCTATTGCATGGCACACACTGCGCCCAAAGAGGCATTCCTTATAAGCACAGTGACTGTTTTGACGTCTTGCACTCATGCTCTCCTACCATATTTATTGATGGCGGAACACGTTGCACGTTGTGACATGTCACGTGTGTCCCGTGTGTCGCGTGATGGCCATCAAGTAATTTCTACTTTAAATTAACTGTTCATTTAAATTATTTGATTTCTTTGAGAAAATAATGAAAGAAACTCCTTTCCACTCCATTCGCTCTCTCTGTCGTTCGAGTCGCAAATTTCCACTGAGACATACCGTCAGCTTCTCGTCTTACTAATAGCTAATTCTCATCTATCATTTCTTGGTACCTAAATGTGTGAGATCACTTCTTTCCGTCCGAGATTTCCCTGAAAATTGTGAGAGTTTTTGTCTTTCCTGAATATGGTTCACGTTCTTCCTTGAATATGGTTCACGTTCTTCCCTGAATATGGTTCACGTTCTTCCCTGAATATGGTTCACGTTCTTCCCTGAATATGGTTCACGTTCTTCCCTGAATATGGTTCACGTTCTTCCCTGAATATGGTTCACGTTCTTCCCTGAATATGGTTCACGTTCTTCCCTGAATATGGTTCACGTTCTTCCCTGAATATAGTTCACGTTCTTCCTTGAATATGGTTCACGTTCTTCCCTGAATATGGTTCACGTTCTTCCTTGAATATGGTTCACGTTCTTTCCTGTTTTATTTCTGTGACTGAAGTGAATGTGACCTGCAGTATAGGTAGCATGATGTGATGTCTTGTAAATCCTAGAATGAACTGATTTTGTGTTTGGTCTAACATTTACTTTATCTATCCGTTATTAATCCTTTTGCTCGCAAAAATACTGAGATCAAATAAGCAATAGTATGTGTTGTACGTATACACTGCACGGAAATTTAACTTGAGCATGCGTATCATACGTGATGAAGTTGTTAATAACATTATTTGTATATTAATAAATTTTGTTGCTATTTAATAGTAATATCACGTATCAGTAGACTAGTTTGGGAGATTTATCACATTGGATTTTTGCCATCTCGATGTTATGATTTTTTTACTAAACAGAAGTAAAATTCGCAACAAAATTTTTTTTTCAGTTTGAAAGAAGTATGTCTCGTCCACACGTATTCTTCGATATTACCATTGGCGGAGATCCATCTGGTCGTATCGTTATGGAGGTGAATTGCTTTCACTTTTTTATTTTTTGCTAGAAGTTAAAATTCTTGTCTTGGTTGTCGAATATCCAAGGAGAGAACCTTTCCAAAAATTAATCCTTTCAGTTGACATGGTAACAGGTGACAGATTTTAGAGGATACTAAGCTGCTTGACAGATGGAAACAATGTAGTATGATCGTTGTTTGTAAGACCATATTTCTCGAAACTCTTATTCTGGTCTTCTTCTAAATTTTGTGTGAGTTTTATTATAGTTTTGGTAATAGTAATGCTAATGGCGTAGGAATAACAATACCATATTAATTATGATTGTGACTTTGAAGAGTGATTATAGATAAGTTATATTAGATCTAATATTTTTCCAGTTGTTCAGCGATGTAGTGCCGAAAACAGCAGAAAATTTCCGTGCATTATGCACGGGTGAAGAAGGCTATGGTATATTGGGAAAGGTTCTTTATTACAAAGGTTCGAAATTCCATCGAGTCATCCCAAATTTCATGTGCCAGGTTTGCCCTGTTTTGTCAGTTCAGTCAATGTATGCTGTTATTTAAAATTTGAAATCTTATTGCAAATTTCGGCACTGTAAACTTTGCTTATAGTCAATTTAAATGAACCATGAACAAGTTGATCTAAATAAGTTATTTGCTTATTTAACATATGTTCTTATAGTATGGTTATTTCATAACGGAATTCACTAAGTGATGCAATAGAGAGTGACATCAGTAAGGTTTTAGAGCGTTATCATTAACTCTCTTACCACGATATAATTCTTCCCAGTGAAAGATTGTAACAGAGCTTTGAGGAATATAGTATAGTGAGTTACCATCGTTTGTGTTATTAGCTATTCTCTCAAATTAAATATTGTAACATAAAAACGAACAAGTGAATGATTTGCAATTCAAAAGTTGATATGAACTTCTGCCATTCAGGGTGGTGATTTCATACGAGGAAATGGTACAGGAGGTGAATCTATTTATGGTTTAACGTTTGAAGATGAAAACTTCAAAGAGAAGCACACTGGACCTGGCGTGCTATCCATGGTAAGCGCGTACGACAACAATATAGGTTCTTTTTGAGTTAATCTCGCGCTATGAGCGCATTGTAGATTTTAGTTTGTTAAATAATATAATTATTTGAAATGCCGAAAATGAGTTCATATTTCAGCTTTCAAGTACATAGACGAATAAAATTCTTAGTATAAGATTGTTAACTGAAGAAAAGCAATTGTTAAATAAATGAATAAAATGAGATACTAGAAGAAGTGAGATTGGTAATATATATGCATGCAAATGTGCAAGGAAGTGTAATAGCTCAGTGTTAGGATTGTGCGAAACACAGATA